AAGTCCAACCTCAAGTATTGTACTGTATCAGCTGGAGAGAAAAAATAGAACTGAGATAGAGTTAATGGTTCGTGGTGGCTAAGAAGAAAATTTAAATGGAAGATGGTTTGTATAGCTGTGTGTGTAACTGGCCTTGTTAAAACATTAGTAAGATAAGGTAATGATGAGCTTTGCACACACGCCACTAAATACAGTCCACATTCTTTTGTTTACAACTGTCTGGTGCTGTCTGTTGGTGTCAGTTACAAACACTTTATACTCTATCTAACACCCCAGTGTGTTAATGACCTTCCTATTCCTCAGCTAAATAAGCCACTTGTCTCATGATTTTGCTCATCTTGTTTGCTTATCTGGAATTTACTGCCAAATATATTCCAATTTACAGTGTTTACTACAAGGGCACATGTAGTCTGAGCTTTTGCTAGATCACCTCGCTTTTTTAGAATTTATATTAAATGACTAAATTCATTGGATAGAGCAAATAAAATTTGAATATTTTACATTTAGCACTACGAGAGATATCATATTGGCTCAAACTGTTGCTCTTCTACTTCTTTGGTCCCAGAGCCGCCTGTGCGGTTCAAGCAGCCTCTCATTGATCTTGAAGTGTGGGAGCGGGATTTGGCTGTTCTCGAGTGTGAAGTTCCAGAGGACTCAGTTGCCATCACATGGTATCTGGAGGATAGACGACTGCAACCAGGGGCCAAATATGGAATGGAGGAGTGGGGAACGAAACGACGACTGACAATTCGTGACATCGGAGTTGATGATGATGGGATTTACCTCTGCGAGATGCCTGATGGGGGCAGAAGCATTGCAGAGGTAGCTGTAAAAGGTAAATTAGGATCCAACATAAAGTAGCTCTATTTCAAAAGTAACACAATGCAAAAATGTGCAACGATTTCATATGAGAACCATTATTTCTTTAGGTGGTGAAGGTGGTGTGTTTGTCAGTTTTTTCTGGTTTAAAGTATTTGCAGAAAGCACAGATATCTCAGATTTGTTTGTAGGACTGCCTTAGGGTTTGTTGTTCCAGTACAAATCCTGTGAAATTAAAAAAGAAAGTGCTCATTATTCTCAGCAAGAAGAAAGAAAAGCCCTCAGAGAACATTGTTTTTCCTCGGCTGTGCACATGACACCTCCAGTTGAAACACAGACTAGTTTGTCAGAGTCTCTAAAGGAGATCTCAAAATAAAAAAAAAAACACCTATGTGACTTGCAATATCAAGACTCTTTAGCATGTAAAAAAGTAAAAACCTGTCCTGGCTAAACTACAAAGGACAGATCTTCACAAAAATGAATGCATAGGTGTTAAACATTAGTTTTGTAACCAAGTTAAAACACGTGCTTTACAAAAGCAGTCCAATACAAAAACAGATGCCTGCAGACACAGGTCTTTAGTAGCTAACATTTTTTTGAGGTCGAATTTGAGGCACACAGCAAACGTTTTTGGTGCCAGATCAAAAACTGTGACCTGCAAAGAAGGCACTGAGAAACTATTTTGTCCTCTTGATGAGATCAGCTGCAAAATTTGCATGTTTAACATATACAGTGACAAACTGTTCTGAACCTGTGACAGCTGTGAACAACCCTAAATTGGATAAGCAGTTATGGAAACGGATGGATGTTTGCTACTAACTATTAAGAATTCTTGCACTGTGAGTGTCGTATTAACTCTCTTGGGTTTTTCTTTGCAGGCACAATTTTGCGGAAGCTTCCAAGAAAAGTGGATGTCTTGGAAGGTGAAAATGCTGCCTTTTGTGTTGAAGTAGAAAAAGAAGAGATGGATATACATTGGTACAAAGATGGCTTAGAGCTGCGTGAAACCCATCAGACCATTATTAAATCCTTTGGTCGAACTCACATCCTGGTTTTCGTCAACACAATGCCCCAAGACTCTGGCCTCGTGACTTTCCTTGTCGGCAGATCCAAGACTTCCTCTCAGCTAAGAGTTAAATGTAGGCCCCTCTGAAAATTACAGTGCCTTAGATACAATATTTGTCACAAAACTTGATCAATTTTGGAAGCAACATTGGTGCATGATGACTTTTTTTTGGTTTCAGCGGCCAGACATTGTCCACCTAGTTGTCCAGTGGCTGTGCAGATCAACACAGAGCGTGCTAATGCAGCTCTTCTCTCATGGGTTCCTGCTCAGGACTCGCGAAAGAATCCTCCCTCTGGATATGTGCTTGAACGGCAAGAGGTGGGCACTGGTTCGCAAGAATGGCTTCAGTGTCTGACCACCGATTCTGCAACCTCTGTGGAGATCCTTGGTGACAGTGTTCCATGTGAGGCGGATTACCGCTTTCGTATTTGCAGCGTCAACAAATATGGGAAAAGCAATAATGTTGAATTCCCTAAAACTGTTCACTTAGGTAACGTTTATTTTACTACAACTGCACTAAATCAACACCACTTGCTGTATTTCTCAATTAATCACAACAGGATACTTTTGCTATATGATTAAACACAATTTTATTTTCCAGTTCCTGTGGCCAGAATACAAGCTCCCTTACAGGATGCCTTGGTGCCAGAGGGGCAAGATGCTCTCTTCTCTATTGAGCTTTCTGCTTCAGTTATTGGTACATGGTTCTTAAATGGGACTCAGCTTCAGGAAGACGAGCGGTATTCCATGCGTCGGTCACGAGCACACCAATCTCTCCGCATTCGAGGAGTACGCGATACAGATAATGGAGCTGAGATTACATTCATTGCCTATGGCATCCGTGATTCTGCAGCACTTTACATTCAAGGTATGTCTGGAACATTTAGAAAAATGAAGATGAATTTGTAGGCTGGGTGGCGTATTACTTTCCTCAAATGTCTGCAGAAATGCATTCTGATGGATTTTGTATTACAAGAAAATAATTACCAATGAGCCACCATGTAGTCTTCTGCATAAAACCTGAACTTGGACAGCCGGCCAGAGGCAGTCATCCAATTGTAGAGGGCTGTATGTGAGCAAGCACACCTGTCATTGTCTCACCCCAAAAAACCCATCCCTGTGAACACGTACCTTTTATTACACTCAGTGTTTTCCTTGTGTTTTCTAAAATTTGCAGCTCCTCTTGTCAAGTTTTTCCCATTGTCAGAGATGGATCGAAATAAATTTGTAGAAATTGGGAATCCCATTGTGCTCTACTGTGAGGTATCAGACCCTGCAGCTCTGGTGCACTGGTACAAGAACGGGGTGGAATTAAGATCTGTGGAAGGTCTTCATATCCAATCAGAGGGCACCATGAGACGAATTGTCATCCAGTCAGCAGAGTTATCACATTCAGGAGTCTACTGCTGTGATGCCATTGATGATGTCATCAGGTTCAATGTGGAAGTAGAGGGTGAGTAGAACAAGTTTCTTACATTGCGTTTTTTTGTTTTGTTTTTTGTTTTACAGAGACTAACCCTCTTCATTGTGACTTGTACCAAACATCTTTTTTATGTAAAAAATGCATGCTGTCTTCCTTTGAATCATCTGATTTATTTTTTTTACCACTTACCAACCCATTAAAATATCTAAATATCCATAGCCCCACCTGTGAGGTTTTCAGCACTCCCAGATGCTGAGAGGAACAAAACCATCCAAACAGGCTGCCCAATTGTTTTACAATGTGAGCTCTCAGATCCATCTGCCCAGGTGCACTGGTTCAAAGATGGGTCAAAACTCCATTCTCAAAGTGGGGTAGATATCATATCCGATGGCTTGATGAGGAATCTGATTATCCATTCAGCAGAAGTTTCACACTCTGGCTTGTACTGCTGCAAGACAAAGGGTGACACCATCACTTTCAATGTGGACATCAAAGGTGATTTGTTTTACCTCAAGTGATGTGAAACATTAACGAGCTCCTACTCAGCAAAGCAACTAACTCTAATGACATTCTTGTATGTTGTCTGTTGCCTTTCATCTTAGAAGTGCTTAAGTGTGCGCTACCTTTGTTCAGTGTATTACAGCATGTTAGAAGTGGTCAGTAGATAGATTATGATAAATAATCTAAGTGGCATGAGGTTGATTTAAGGTTGACATCAAATCTAAACATATCTATAGCTCCACCTATGAAGTTCTCAGCAATTCCTGAAGATATGAGGATCAAGTCGATTGAAGCAGGCTGCCCCGTTGTGCTACAGTGTGTGGTGTCGGATCCCGAGGCCCATGTGCTGTGGTACAAGGACGAAATTCAGCTCATTTCAAGCTCTGGATTAGAAATCCACTCAGTGGGCAACACAAGAACATTAGTTATTCAGTCTGCAGAGCTGAGCCATTCTGGTGTGTACAGATGCACCGCACAGGATGATACCGTGGAGTTTCAAGTGGAGATCAAAGGTGACTTTACGCTTCTTATCTTTGCGTTCATTTTGTAACCCCACCCCCCTCTTCATGGATGCCACTAATAATCCCTGCTTCTACTATGTTGTTTGAAGGAGTGTTTCGTGCACATAACTTTAAAGAGCAGTTAACCCGCTAGGTGATTACTATTTATATACATTGGTTTTGCGACTCCTGCGGCTCTCTGTGAATTAAAAGTCTCCAAAGCCCCTTTCATCTTCTGCTCAGCAGTTACATTTTGTAAGGTATCCATTTCCACGGCCTTGATTTTATTTAGCTGTCCTGCATTCCCAATGCTAGCTATACCAGTGACGAACTCTACTATCTTTGACGTTGAGGGAACCAAGTCACTCGAAGTGGGCAAACGTTTGGAGCTGGAATGTGAGGTTGCAGACTCTACTGTGCCTGTCTGCTGGTATAAAGATGGTAAAAAGCTCATTCCAAAGAATGGTTGGGATATACAGAGTAATGGCACATCAAGGAAACTCATTATCCCATCTGCTGAGCTCTTGCACTCAGGGCTATACAGCTGTGAAACTTCTGATGACACTATCCACTTCACTGTGGATGCTAAAGGTGATTTGTTTTTACAATTAAATTGTTTTACTTTTGGATCTAATTCTAAAGCTTTCTGGAGACTAGATATGACTAACATTATGATATGTGTTTCTGTGTGTCTGTGTTAAAGTGGTGCTTTGTGTGAAGTTGTAACTGTCCATGGTAAAATCAATGTGTACTGACTAAATGAAAAAAGCATAAGCCTTGAAAATGCATTTCTCGTTGAATTTGAGATGGCAGATTACTTCCCAGTTTTGGGGAAGTTAAACTTAATGCCCTTTTCTTCATAGTATGAATATGTTCCATTAAGTCCATAGTCATAATATTAATCATTAATCTTTAGCTCCAACGTTGCCATTGTCGCCTTCGCTGGAGGTTGTGGAGACACAGTTACTTGAAGCAACGTACCCCCCCGCTGAACCACCCTGTGAATCCTCAGACCTTGCTTTCCGGGTGTCAAAGCAGAGGGATACAGAACCTGATAGAGAGCCTGACAGAGAGCCTGAGTTTGAAAATGGAAGCATCAAGAACACCCTTGTTATTGAACCAACTCATCCTGCAAACTCTGGAGCATACTATTGTGCAACAGCAGATGATGTTGCCAAATTAATAGTAAAAAATCAAGGTGATTATACCTTTTCTGCAAATGTGGTTTCTGCTTCAGCTGTACTAACTCTTTGTGCAGCTTCTAGTAACATTTCTATATAAACATATAATGTATCAGTTTCTCTTTAAAGTCAGTTTCCCCCCCAATGATTGTTTGTAGTGCCACTTCCAACATATCTACTTGACCCTGAGGATGAGAAGGCCAACTCTACTGAACAACACTGCTCAATTGTTCAGCAATTTGAGATTTCAGATCCCGTTGCCAAAGCCTGTTGGTACAAAGATGGAACCCAGATCTACCCCAAAAGGGAAACTGACAGTGAATCCCAGAGAAGTAGCCAAATCTTTCCCCTCCAGTTACAATATGCCTCTGGTGATGTGACGTTTGGCTGTGAAACAGCTCATGATGTACAGTTAAATGAGGACATAAAAGGTGGTTCCCCTCATTGTACCTGCACAATTAAGAATCAAGAAATAAGTTACATATGTAACGCTATCACCCAGCTCATTGTTTTCTCTTTGGCTTTGTCCAAACAGCAGAGCAGTGTCACTATCGTGATGAGATTGGTGAGATAGCTGATGCATCTACCCAATACACAGTGGATGGCAAAGGTGATTTGATATTTCAACATCAATCATCCATTTTAACCAAGCACATAAAGGCCACTAACAATAGTGGTGTCTTTTATTGTTAGCCCAATCATCTGAGGCATCTGTAAATCTTTTTTCCTTTAGAAAATTGCTCTGTGTCACATTGTCATCACTGGTTTCAGGTCATTTCCTGCTGTTTTTGCCTCTTAAATGGTTGATTAGTAGCTGCGTAGCTGCTTCTCATACTAACATATACGTTGTGTTTGTCACTTCATTCTTCATTTTAACAGTCATCTTTGCTTGTAATAAGCAACTAACCACTCTTAAAGTCCATCTTATGTCTTATTCATCACCAGATCCTCTCATTCACATTGCTGCCCTGAACGTCTCCCCGTTGCAATGACAACGAACTCTTGTCAAAGACAACAAAATTAATGTACCATAGGTTTTTATGGTGCTAATGTACAGATTTTTGGTATGAGAATATTAGGAGTCAGTTGAAGGAAGACATATTGAAGCTCACTTTCAGACCAAACCTGGTCGATCTTCTTGTTTGTCTTTGCAATGGATAATCCCATAACTCCATGCTAACCCACACTGATGTAAAATTCTGTTATAAGAAGAAGTATTGAGACCATCAACCACTGAAAACCTTTCTCTGTGTACATCACAATGCTTATAGCTACATCGCCAAGGCTCTCTTCTGACCAAGAGAAGAGCAAGTCCACAGAGGAGGCTTATCCTGTTGAAGTTATCCAGGTGTCCTCAAAATACAATTCTGGGAAATCCGGTGGCAAGGCTGGAGATACTGAGACATGTGAAGACCATTCCAGTCATACACCAACTTCTCAGTCAGCATATGAATATATGTTTGACTGCACTGCACCTAAACAGCTGAACGAACTCTATGATGGTCAACAAATGGAAAAAGCCGAATGTCCACTGTACCATGACTCTGTAAACCCAATAACAACTCAGTCTGACACACACCATCACACTACACAGCTCAAAGATACACAAGGTGAGGAATTCATTTACTATGTACAGCATACGGAAGCCTCATCTGAAGAACCTGACAATTCTTTGCAGACAGCTGTTCTGACAGATGAGTTTTGCAAGTTTTTGCAAATTACAACTGTTCAGTCAGAGGAATCCACTTCCAAGAATCTAACTTTCCAATCAGAGGAGCTACCTAGTTTAGGACAGACACCATCTGTCCAGTCAGAGCTAGGCAGCCTTCTACAGAATTCAGCTACAACATCAGAGCACAATACTGACACCTTACAGATTTCAATCAAATCAGACAGCATCTCTGAGTCTTTCAAAACTGCAACTCCACAGCCAGAGGATCTGATTGAATCCATAATCTCTGAAAGTTACAAATCAGAGGAGCCCTTTAAATCCTTACAGACTGTAGCTGTCAAATCAGAGGGACCATTTAAGTCATTGCAGACTGCAGATGTCCAATCAGAGGGGGCCTTTAATTCAATGCAAATCCCACCTGTCCTTTCAGAGAAGCCTTGTGACCGTTTACAAACCGAAACCGTCTATTCAGAGGGGCCCTATAACTTTTTATGGACTGCAACTGACCAATCAGAGGAGTTCAACAGACTCCTACAGAAATCTGCTGATCTTTCAGAGGGGCTCAGTGACTTCCCTAAAACAGCATCCCTTCAATCATTGGATTTTTCTAACCTTAAAGAGGTAAAAACTTTCCAACAGGAGCCATACGACTTGCAGCAGTCTGCATATGTCAAATTGGATCATCCCGATAATACAGGACAAGCAGTTTCTAACGATTTGCAAGTGCTGTCCCTGCCAAGTCAGGAAACAACAGTCCCTGCAGAGTTTTATCGCACCCTGGAGACTACGGAAGAACAAGTAGACATCACATTTAGCTCTGGGAAAAGACATTTGACCAACTATGCAGAGCCTTGCAATATCAAGCAGACAGCAACTGTCAAATCAGAAGAGCTCTACCTCTCAGGGACACATGATGGTTACTGGAGTGACAGTGTCACTGCATATAAGGTGGCTGTTGAAGGTGATTTAAATGGTTAGCATTACCAAGCAAAAATGAATGGGCACAATGTTGACATTGTGAAAAATGATTGAGATTGCCTTTTTTTTTGCAATCCTTTACATTTTGGCAGTCTCTATAACTACTCACTTGACTTTATTTACACTAAAAGTACTTCAGTAGTTGAATTTGAGCTTGGGTGGTCTGCGAGGAACATTCAAAATAGAGCAAAGAGTAAATACATTAGCTTCAAATCCTAACTTGAATGCCCAGGTATCTCAAGTCTAACCAAAGACACATCTTGTTATATTACTAATAAATGAGGACATATTTTTATTATGACTTATTTTAACTCTCCAGGTTTATTGGCATGACTAATCTTGATGTTAGAATTTGATTTGCTCTTTCCTTTTGTTTTTAAAGCTTCATTTCTGTTGTAGTCAGTAATAGTGATGCAATTTTCTCTTGATGTTACCTCAAACATCCCCAGCTCCGCCTGTGAGAATTACAAGACTTTGTGAGGCTGAAAGGAACAAGTCTGTTGAAGGTGGTGAACCCCTAACGCTGCAGTGTGAGATATCAGATCCTAATGGTGAAGTTACTTGGTACAAGGATGGAATAAAACTTCTTGAAGCAGCTGGGCAGGACATGCTGGCAGATGGTTCTATAAGAACACTGACTTTCCGATCTGCGACACTGTCTCATGCAGGGATTTACAGCTGCAAGACAACAGATGATGCAGTGCAGTTTCATGTGGATGTTAAAGGTGACAAAAGTTGCTTTCACCTGTTATGCAATTAGATTTTAGTGGAGGTTATTTGCATACAAATAAGTTTGCTTTACTCACAAAACGCAAGCTTTCTTTTTAGTTTTCTGGAAAAATATAATTACCATAAAGTAGACAGATTTAACAGTTTCTCTGATAGAAAAAAAAATCAAGAGACTTTAATATAGTTAAATACAAAACCTCAACTGATTGAAAAACTTCACTTTACCGTAATCATTTGCAATCTGCACAAAATGAGTTCTTGGATTAGGTTAATTTAAAAGAAAACTAAGTATAAGTACAATAAGTACAATACAAATATTTCAATTACATTTAACTAGTAACCACTGTCATGTGCTTTCATGACTTCACTCTATGATGTCTGAGTCCATGAATCACAGAGACTGAAACTACAGCTACCTGTGTGGTGCACTCTGGGAGTTCTGCTGGGATGAAATTATTTGTAGGCCAGCCTTGAAGTACGGCCCTGGATCCCTTAACCTCTTAAGCCCCAAGCCTACCTGATCTCCTGCTTTTTGCCCCCGTATCAGGGGGCGTTGGGGCTTAAGAGGTTAATTAAAAAGTCAATTGGATTTCTCCAATTTTGGATTGCTTTTGGATTGTCACAGAAAATAAGCTCTGAGTAAAATAAAAATTCATGACACATTTGTTCAGCAGGATAATCTCTGCAAATGAATTCCAACTGTATGATTTCTGAAGTGTAAGTACTATCTCAAAGAACTACACCATGGTCACATGACTTCTTAACACCAGTAAGCTACTGTGTCTGATGTTTTTATTTTGAATATGCTGTGACAACTTCTACAGTCACATTTAGTCACTTGTTTGCAAATGGTTTCCTCAAAATTGACAAGTGGGGTAATGTGTTGCATATTCTATGTTGCACAACAAAACATTAACATGTCTGCAGGTTGTGTTAATCGTGCTAATCCTAGGCTTATTTTTGACAACACTGCTCAGGGGACATTCAGGCTCTGTCCAAGTTAGTACTTAGTTTGTAGCATACTCCATTGAAGTTAACGAACAAGAGTTTTCAAACACTGTGCCATGCTCTATTTTATCTTTAAATCAAAATTAAAGAACTAGGCACTGTCTATAATTAGCTAAAGTTGCCCTAGAAAGACAGTGCAGCTTAATCAGATTTTTGACTTATTATCCAAGAGGAAGTTAAGTGTTTTGCAAAGTCTTTAATTTGCCAAGCACTCAGGTAGCACACAGTCTGCGTTCTTTTGTAGAGAAATACCCTTGGTTGGCTGAACTAAAACAATTCAGTAGAATGACACAAGTAACATAGCAAAGACTGCAGCAATGAGCCTGGCTAACTTGCAAGTCTACTTCTAATATCAAGCAGTCTTGGAGGTTGAGAGCATTCTCTTACAGTGTTACAAATGATGTCTACGTGTTTACCAAGCTTCTGATATGCAGTAAAACACTGTATAATACAATGTATAATGTGAGAAGGATGGTGGGTTGTTGGGGATTTAATTGCTGAGGTTCTTAAATTTAACTTACTAGAACAGTATTATTACAACGTAGGTGAGAACTTGGACAAAAAAGTCCTTTGAGAGTATTTTAGTGTTCAAGCAGAGCAAGTTTAAAAAAGGTCTTTGGGAAAAATATATATTCTTGATTGGGGCAAATGGAAACAACTGTAGCTTTAATAGGGGTGCATTACAGCTCTCTGTGGGACATCACTGACATGTGGACTGACCAAACATGCCCAAAGATTCAGTATATTAACCCTATCATTAAGTCATAATATCCAATTAATGAAATCCTTGTCCCTGCCAAGACAGTATACAGAAGCACACAGCCTTCACGCAGGCAAAGGTATTTTGACCCAAATGTCTTAGATGTCTTCACAGTTGTGTCAAAATAAATCTGAATTGCTTTGTCAGGTACCCAGGGTTTCATTAGTACACTCACTCTTTGCTTGACTAAGTAAGGTGACTGAACATTGGAAGAATTCCAACTTTCCAGCCTCCTACTGTAGAGGCAGGAATTTTCTTAAGGCTAAATCATCTTCTATACTCATACTGTAGGCACTGACCGAATGTGTAAAACAAAAAATGACTTTCAACCATTTGTAAGCATAAACCTTTGCTAATTAAGTATATACTTTATCATACATTTGCTGTCACTGCAGAACCACCTCAGTTGGGTTTTTTAAAAATTAATGCAAGACCGACTCTGTTAATATTAATAAAACTTTTGGTAGACCAGGTTTACTAAATGTATCTAGCAGAATCTTTCCTTACAAATACTAATTTGAAAAAAAATAACGTAGTTTATTGCTTTTATTGGAAAGCTTCAGTTTTAGGGCTTTGCTTTGCTTCTTTTGCTCCATTACAGTACATGTTTTATTGACCAGTTCTATCTTACATTCAATCCTGTAGCTCCACCTCTGACATTTTCAGCAATGTCTGAGGTTGACCAGAAAATGACGGTCATAGCAGGCTATCCCATTGCTCTACAATGTGAACTGTCAGACCCCACTGGACAAGTCAGTTGGTACAAGGATGGAACAAAGCTCCTACCTCAGAGTGGAGTAGACATCCAGTCAGAGGGAAATTTGAGGAGTCTAGTTGTCTCATCAGCCGAGCGGGCTCACACGGGTGTATACCGTTGCGAATCAAAGGATGATGACATCCAGTTCACTGTGGATGTAAAAGGTGATGCTCAAAAAGCTCTGCAGCGCTTTCATTGTCTTGCATTGCCACTAACAGGTTAACAGCAGGTGATTTAGTCATGTTTTTGTAGTGACCTAACAGAAAATTGTTCATTTTCCGGCCTTCCTAATACACTACTCATGCCACGTTAAAAAGCAGAGGCCAAATGTAAGTAATTTTTTATGTGACTTTAGAGAAAAACTATTCCCCATCACACCTATTCATGATGACCCCTTTTTTAACACTTTAATAAGAGTAGAATGAAAGAATATAGGACATCGTCACACTAAACATCTCATTAAAAATGTGGTGTCATAATGCAGCTTCTGATTAAGCATATCCGATATATAAAGAAAGCTGTGAGTCTACTTTATTCTTTTTAATGTCACTAACCATATGCACTTCTTTTGCCATATACACTCTTATGTCTAACCTGTACTTTTTGTTGGTTTCATATTGATCGTTGCTCTTCTAGACATTCTAGATGTCTTTGAGTTCTTGTTTATGTTGTTTTGTCAAAAGCACCTTGTTCTTAAAGACCTGTGTCAGCTGTCTGCTGCTTTGGTTGAATTTAAGTTCCTACTCATTTCTAACTGCATAAAGTGTAGTTTTAATATTTAAAGACACTTTATTAAGACAATCTTTTGCAATTTTAAAAACCTACAGCCCTACCTGTGAAGTTCTCAGAGCTTCAAGAGAATGACCGGAACAAGTCCGTCGAAGAAGGCGCCCCCATTGTCCTGAGATGCGAACTCTCTCATGATCCCTCTGCTCATGTCGACTGGTATAAAGACGGGGTAAAGGTTCTGCCACAAAACAATGTGGAAGTACAGTCAGATGGACTGACAAGGACACTGCTCATCCCTTCAGCTGGAAGCGCGCATGCTGGTACCTATGAATGTTCAACAAAAGATGACACTGTGACTTTTAAAGTGGATGTAAAAGGTGATTTATTTCTATCGTTGTCGTCTTATGGTTCTTATTCTCTGTTGTGAGTGGCTGAAACATACTTTGATTTGAATGATCATGGGAAAATGGTATGACTGGCTGGACTGTGTTTTGCCTACCACAAGCATCTTACCCAGTACCCTTGTTATTCTCCTCTTTTAGGCCGATCGTCACAGATCATGCCACTCCCACTGTCAGAAAAATACAAGCTGATTGCAGCTGGTTGTCCGATTATACTCCAGTGTGAGGTCTCAGACCCTGTTGCCCAGGTTTCCTGGTTTAAAGATGATTTGGAGCTATTCTGCAAAACTGGGCTTGATATGAAAAGAGATGGCAACTTCAGAAAATTGATGATTCCTTCTGCTAAAGTCTCTGACTCTGGTCTCTACAGCTGTAAATTTGCAGATGACACTGCGACATTCCATGTGGACGTCGAAGGTGATTTTCCTACATTCCCTTTCAGTTAAAGAGCTGGCAAGTGTGAGTTTGGGGCATTTTAGCATGGCCATAGTTACCATAGTTACCCTTAAACTTGGCACTTCTTTTTATTCATGCAGTTGAAAACACCTTGTGAAAAACCAAGTCTAATCCTAGCTGTGCTAAATTAATCAAACCCAAAAAGTCTTATTTTCACACTGCTTGTTAAATGATGCTCTGTCAGCTTAACAGCAGTCCTCTGCAAATCTTTTAAATACCCCCCCCAGCTACTCCTGTGAGGTTTTCAGCGATTCCAGAGGTTGCGAGAAACAAATTTGTTGAAGCAGGCTGCCCAATTAAGCTGCAGTGTGAAGTCTCAGAGCCAACTGCCCAAGTCTATTGGAACAAAGATGGAGAACAGCTACTTCCAGAGAGTGAATATGAAATCCAAGCTAAAGAAAAACTGAGAGCACTGGTCATTCAGTCAGCAGAAGTCAGACACTCTGGGATGTACAGCTGTGAAGCCGCAGATGACCATATAGAATTCAAGGTGGATGTTGCAGGTGATCTAAGTATTTTGAGCTTCGTCAGAATTACTAACCATCTATTAATACTTGGCTAATAGACTAGCTTAGGGAACAATATTTGAATGTATATGTTTATAATGTTGGTGAACATATTTATCCAAATTAAAAATGTACAATTTGGAGTTTTTGCTATGATTTTGATCACAGATAGGTAATTACTCACTTTTAAAATTTCATCAACTCTGCTTCCAGAACAATGTAAATGGTAAATGGCCTGTATTTGTATAGCGCTTT